TTTAAGTAGAAAAGATGTATTTTCTATTATAATTACCAAACATTTCTGCCAAATGTCATAAATTAATTTCGCATGTATATAAGTAGTAAGTGTTACTTCTTATCTTTATGAATAATCTAGCAACTGTCTCATTTATCTCACAAAAAAATCTTAACAATTAAATAGAAGTTTATTGCTATATTTCCTTAATATTTTGAAAAGAACGAAAAGAAAATGATTTATATATAGTATATATTATATAAGCTATTCATATATGAAAATAAATAATTAACTCTTTTTTGACAAATATATTCCTAGATAATAAAATATTTTCCTAGAAATGTTGTTATCTCTGAAATATTTAATTTATTTATAGAAAGGCACGCACACAATTCGAAGTTATTTTTACTTTACGAGCGTGAAGACTCGTAAAGTACAAAAAGCCAATAAGACTTTTGTCAAGAAAAATTTACTATACATGGAATCACGCGGGCGAAAGTTCGTCGTAAGCATAAGAAATTCGCGGTCATACGAAATCAATGCCCGTTCTCAAGTTTTTTCAATATAAAAATATTTCTCCTAGGGAACAAACTCAATCTTCAAATACACAGCTGCGTAGAAACTTAAATTTCGTACTATCTATGAGAACTATATATCTCGCACCATTTCAAACCATCTCGAATTTTGAGAAACAATTTTCGATATCAGTATTCTTATTCTATCTCAACAACAATAGTATCAGAATTTTGCGCGCCACAATATTTATTTTCTGGTAGTCTCGCCTTTAGTTTCCTACAATTAGATAGTGTAATAACTTCCAAAGAGTATCTCTTACCCTTGAGATTATACACCGGAAGGACTAGAATCATTAACCCGAAAATCTTCTCTGAGAAACTAAATACAGCTACGTTGCATTAAAATATTATCTCGTGTTCACTGCGGAATATGCATATTATTGCATAAATTTTCCAGTACATTATATTAATTATTAATACTATAAAAATATATTGAAAAGAATTACGCTAAGAAACGTTAGAATCTTGAAAAGATTTGCAAGAAAATTACATTATAAAATATATTATCCGTGTAAAGTGAAACTGTTGAAGTTACTTAAATTACTTAAACTCTTAGGTAACTTAAGACTTCAGTAAACAAAGTTTAGTACGCTGTATGTCTTTCTGTTACAGACGATTTGATACGCAATTCTTTTTTCGTGATTGATCAACTTCGTTGACTTAAGCCATTATTATAATTACTAATTGCTCATAAAAATTTTTCAAACAATGTCTTAAGTCTTAAAATTATCTTCGCGTACTTCCAGATTAAAGAAAGATATTGAGATATTCGATACCTCGTAAATAGCAAACTAAGTAGCAAATAAATCTATTTAAAAATAAATTTATTTATTTCATTATCATAAATCTTAATCAATTATTAACCTATATTCATGCTATACTAACATCCTAGTAGGGTTCGATCGATTTTACCACCTAATATCTGGTCTAAACCCCATCTATATTAATCCTTAGAAGCTCTGCCGTGGTAAGTAAAGCTGTAACGTCTAGTTAATACTAACTTGTAAATTATAGCGGACCGTTCTCCAATCTTTGAGCAGTGTACCTGTGTTCACAGTCCATCGAACACAGATAGATACGATATAGGGAGAGATATATACGATAAATACGATAGAGAAAGAGAAATAGAGAGAGAGAGAGAGAGAGAGAGAGAGAGAAAGCCGTAGCGAGGAAATTATATTATTCAATACGTGTATATGTATATAATATACAATACTAACTTAAAATCGAATTCTGAATATCAAGTAAATATGTATTGAAGAAACTAGAAGATGCCATTCTAGAATATCAGTACCGGCTTGCTCGACTTTATTCTCTAGAGATAAGGAAGGTTCGACATTATAAGATCGCCTTCATGCTAGTGTAATTTCATCTGCGCGAGCAATCTAACGGTTAGAGGTATCTAGAGGTCTCTTTGCTCGAGAAAAGTCGTACACTCGCCCAGCATGTTATGTGCATAATTGCATAATATAAAAGGAAAAAATTCCATACTTCGAATGAAGAACATTCTCTAGTTTAATAAAATTAGAATTGCGTTTGCAAAACTGTTGAGAAAAAAAATCACGTAGGTAGAATTTTTAACTGATAATTTACGTAATTAAGAAATATCCCGTGTAGTATAAAATAAATCGCAAATATTTTATATCCCCCAGAAATCTTCATAGTAATGAATATTAATAGAACGATGTCTTATATTACGAATATCTGTGAGTAAATACTAAATGCCGCTAATACAACTGACGCATTCGGAATAATGCATAAACACGAGGCATTACACAGTTAAATGTCATCAATAAATAAAGAGGAAATAAATTCATATGTATGTAATATTGCAAATGTTTTTAATAGGATTTTTCCTGTGTCAGCATTACCATTGATCTCAATCCGCCATACAACCGTGTCGTAAATCTAGGAATCAAATTGCGAGTTTTACAGGCCGTTGTATCCCTCCGCGCATAATAAAAAGCACCAACAGATGGAACCTTGTTGTGATACGGACAGTATGGAATCGGAATAGAATTTATGTTAGATAGATTTTGTTTTACAATCTTGACATGAGATAGTAAACGCACGTAACTATCTGTCCCAACAAAAAATATTATACTATTTCAATAAAAATCTTATGTATTTATATATATGACTGCTAATCGTATAATAAAGTCAGAGATTAATTTTTTATTGTTAGATTTATTACGCTTCTAGTTATTATTTAAAACATCTTATTTAAATATACTTATTTAATGTGCTTCATAGTAACAGCGTAATAATATTTATTACAGTGTGTTGTATTATATAATTATATTTATTTATATATTTAT